TGTTTAAAATAAACATTTATAAATGTTTACAATGTCAAAGAATAAAAAAATATAAATAAGATTCAAAAATATTTTGAAAGTTTATAGTAAATATTGTAAATATATGTATATAAATAGTAATAGCAAATATTAGACCAGTGTTTACAAGATCAAATTCGATTATCAAAATATAAGTAATTTACGGCATAGAAAGCCTTGTCTAGTAAATAAGATTTCAATGCTCTGCGAAATGAAGAAAATCATGTTATGGATTTGATTTCAAATGGCAGGTGATTGTGCATTTTTTTCGAGTTGTATAATATTGAAATTTTAACTAACTCTGTGTGTGGGTGGGGTAGGTAGATAAAGATCTTTCTCCGCGTTCCTGAGTGGATAAGTGTGAGATGGCCTTTCTTGAGAAGCTGATACATGCTTACGTATTAGGCAAACAGATTCAAATATAAATAAGGAAGGAAGAGTTAATATTTTGAATTTTTTAAAAAAGTCCTGGCAATGAGTTCTGCTGTTTAGTCCCGGTGAATATCGAACAGCTCTTTTCTGGAGCTTGAAAATGCGGTCAAATTGAGTCGCGCAACACGCATCCTAGAATGGGAGGATATATCTGAGGTGCGACTCAAAAAGTGCATAATAAATAGTTTTAGCCACCGACAAGTTAAGCTCCTTAGAAACAGATCTTAATGCAAAAGAGGCAGAGCTTAATTTTTTCGACAAAGCGTGTCCCATTTTATCGTTTCGACATGCATGTCTTATTTTAGAGAATTGTTTACAACAAGCCCTAAGAATTTTACAGATTTTACGACGTTAATGGTGGTGTTGTTAAGTACAAAAGGCTGCAGCGAGTTTTTATACGACAAAGCTTTAGTTTTAGAAATATTGAGACTCAGGAGGTTCAAATAGCACCAAGATTTAATGGTGATTAAAAACTAAGCTAAACATTAAAAAAAAATAAGTCAAATGCTAAAGTTTATAATAAAATGAGTTTAAAAATTAAAATTGGCGGATTTATATACAGTATGGTAAAGAAATCATAAAAATAGGGGGAAAGTAAAAAATCTAACACTTTTGTAACACTAAATTCGACGAAAAAGTTTTCCGTTGCGTTTTTTTTTGCATCTGAGTGTATAAACAGAAATAATTTAAATCCTCTTACATGCCTTTTTATATCCCCAGTTAGCCTAGAAGTACAGTAAATGTATGTAAAATATATTATATTTTTTATACATTATGTGTAATGCATATTATGTACCTTTTAATTGCTAATACCTTTTTGTATAACAAGGTATACAAATATGAAAACTAAGTGATCCATTTAATTTTGATTATTGACTTAACCCAATGGTGTGTTTGTTGTTTGTCTGATTTTATCTAAAACTATTTATTTGTAACCAGCCAAACAACAATAAAAGCTAGAATCTTGGAAAACAGGAGAAATCTTCCAAACACACATTGTCAACAAACCATAGATTCGCGTAGATGAAATCAGAAATATAGAGTACACAAAAAGTCAAGATACCTTATATTAATTACACTGTGAGTGAGATAAGAAAGACAATGTAATTAAATTAATAAACCAATATTTAATAAAAAGAATATGATTAGAGAGTTTTATATAGGGTCCGGCAATAGTGCGTCGGGCATCTGTAACTCCTAGAATAAAAAAACTTTTGTTTAAGCGCAATCTTACAGTATGCAGGTACGTGTATGTATTTCAGGAGAATATTTTCACTTCTATAGGATGGTTCAAAAAAGTGTGAATGGATCGGGATGATTTTTTGAAACGGTCTTTTTTTGCCAATCATGACATGTATTGACTATAAGAGAGTAAGATAGTAAGAAACATTTTTTACGTAGAAACTCGAGAATATATATTTTTTACTCAGTAGTTTTTTTATACAGCGATTTTTACCAAGAGGCCTTTTTTACGTAAATGTATATTTTTTTACTCAGTAGTTTTATACAGGTACAGACGAAAAGTTATTTCTCGTCAAACCAGTTAAAAAATATGTAGGGGCGACATCTACAAGTAGGAGTTATATTGATATCAAAATCAAATTCCTCATGTCAAGAAACTCCCATACCACCAATTTTCATCCAAATATTGACGTTACTTCAGAAATTATTTAGAAAACAAACGAAATAAAAATGAAACTTCTACATCCTGTATCTCCGAAACTAAGCATTTTAAGACATATATTTATACGAACTTTTTTACTTATTTTTATCTGCAAAATATGCTGGCAAAGTTTCCGGAATACAGTTCGGACCACCCTGTATAAACCCATACATAGTTAACTTAAAAATATTAGAAAGTTTTGTTAGTGCAATAAATGGATTTGTATGGACGTCACCTGCTTTTTTTCTGTCATCGTCTGTCGAAATCTTACCTAAAAAAACAAAGCGGGAAGCGGAAAGCCGGTGCACTATGGACGTACCTTAACGTTAATCCTAATCTTAATCTACAACTTAAGAAATTTATTAATGCCTCTAAAAGTGCGAACTCGTCGCCCAATAACAAGCGCCCAGCTCTTGGAAAGAGACAGCAGCGTCGCCGTCGCCGAGTCCCGGAGCCGGGCGGCCGCGTCGTTTTTCCGACGCCGAGGTCGCCGAGGAGGACGTCGGGCGCCCGATGACGCCCCATTTTCCGTCCGGATTTATGGCCGGCCAAGATTGAATGGGAATCTGTGGGCGAACGTGGGCCAGGATGACCGTCTGTTTACTACATCGGTTGATTTCGTCGCACGTCCGATTAGAGATGAATGTTTTGGAACGGTTAGAATGGATTTTTAAGCTTCAATTAGTGCTTTTTTACATGCTTTTCCAATTAAAAATAGACTAAAATTGTATTAGGGAATATATAGGGTGTCCAAATATTCCGTGAACATAGAACTACTACATACTTTTAGAATTAAAATAAATTCCTTGGACCCAATTTACCTCTATACAAAAGTGCTTCGTTTGTCCGTTAGAGGACATCAAACTTTAAAAACATAAACACATTTTTTCGGATATTTTAAGCTTTTTCAATTTTTTTTTTTGTGTCTATGTTTTGGTAAGTGCTTTAACATTTAACTTTCACAGAAATCAATAAAAAGTACGGGAAGCGTAAAAACTACCCCCACCCCTACGTAAATTTTGCTATAAATATTTTCTAACTCAACCATCGGTTCGAAACGTCGATGGCGTCATCCTGTAGTCCGTCCCCAATTATACCGAACATTTTTCTTCATTATCAAATTCTGATGAAGATGTAAACGAAGCGTCGTATCGAAGTTTGCAGGGTGGAACCGTATACACTCTCACATAGCCTACTCACCAAATTTGGTCGCGATCGGACGACATCAACTTTTGACGTTTCTTACATCAAAACTAATTATCACAGTGACACGTGTGGTACACGGCCAAGTTGGCCTTGGTTCAATTTATCGACATACCAAATTCCATTTAAATCGGACGATTTTTTCTAAGCCGTATGCTGTTTTTCCCAAGTAGCATGTTGGACACATTATGTAATGTTTCTAATAAACGTGTCTCAGTTTCTTGACACAAAATGGAAACGGTATGTCACAAATAGGAAACATTTTCGAACCTATGTATTTTATATGGCTTTATTAAGTGTGTTTCCAGTGTCGTTTCCTGAAATGTTTCCATACGAAATCAAAACTTTTAGAAGAAATGTTTCGAAACATTTTTTGCAATTTGTTTCCAAGATGCTCCTGTTTGCAGCAGCCACTATTTGTAAATGGAAAGAAACGAAATATTAAACTAAGACAGTCTATGTCTGTGTGTGGATTACAAAATGAAAACAACCATTAACAATGTCGACCTCCGCCATATATTTTTTTGGCTTAATATATCATTTTGGAATTTTAATTCATTTTTTTATAAAATTAACATGGAATTGTCAATTCACAAATCATCTACATTATATCATATTTGTGTCTAAAAAGAGAAAAAGTCGTGTTTCAAAAATGAATCAACAATAAATGGAAACCTTGTTTCCAAAATGTTTCGATTTAGCGCTGTCTGTGTATTAATTTCAAACTAGTCACCTGTCGACAACGCCAATCAAAACTTCTGGTCAGAATAATTAAAACATTTTTATTTACTTATTATAACACTATTAAAACATACAAACATGTATTCCATTGTGGAAAAAAAGAGAAAAAAACGTTTGCTGGTAACATTTTTCTTCGATCTTCTGTTGGGTATGGGTATATTGTGGCTGTTATTACATTTATTCCTAAAACAAATCATCCCTGTAATGCGTATAATAAATCATTGTAAAATCAAATAAGAAAAATATCTGTATTTGTACTCACCATGTCCTTCCTTCTGTTTTTTAATTACAGTACTATAAAAACTTGAAAATGATTAAATGCAAAAACTGCAGAACAAAATCCAAACAATAAAGTATGGTTATGTTCTCATATTTGACAAAATATCAAATAAATTAAGGAAACTTTTCAGGCACAAAACGGGTACGCAATCTTTGTAAATGTATCTTAAAAGCTTCTACATCTGTATCTTAAAAGGTTCGAAAAATTTGTGACACTGAGATCTTTATTGTTATAACTTATGCAGCGAAACCATATTTTGGTAAAATGTTTCGAAACAAAAAGCGATTTATGTTACGAAACATATGTATCAAAAATGTGACGAAACTGTTTCGCTATGTTTATCAGCAGAGATTTTATTTCGATTTTGTGTTCACGATGAACACTGTTCCTCTCGCTCTGATGTACCGCGTATCGTGTCACGGCTTTGAATTTTTATTCCCAGCGCATCTAAAGTTGTTTCACTTCAAAAATACTTTTGTATTTAAATGGTTATAACCTCGGTTGTAAGTTGTAACTAAGAAAAAACTAACAGTTTCAAAAAATGTCTCATTTTTGGTCTCACCACTTGACCCTATCTAATTTTACCCAATCTAAGTCTACCGTTCTATTCAGTCAGTTCACTCCGTCTGTATTTAATCATTTTTGTTTTGTTTTTTGTTGCAGGTTGGCAGCCGCCCACGAGGCGGCGGCACTCCAGGCCGAACAGGGCGGCTACGCGGCGGGCGGCAGGAAGTTCGCGGGGGCCAGCTTCTTGAGCAGGGCGGCGGGCGGCTCGTCAGCTGACGCGATGGGCGGCCAGCAGGCCCCCCACCCCGGCGGCTCCTCGTCGCTCTTCCTCTTCTCCGAGGAGAACGTCGTCAGGAGATACACCAGGTTCATCATCGAGTGGCCATATCCTTTTATCATACACCTTTATGATTGTTGATATTGAAAAATTAGTTTTTAAAAAGTGATTTTTAACCCACAAAAAAGTACACAAATATTAATTTTTAATTTATTAGATGAATTACATTAATTATTAATCTGTACATTTGTGACGGGTTTATTTCTTGAAAAAAATCTGTTTTTCTTTACCTCTGGAAAAGATATACAGGGTCGCTGTTATGTATGGAAACGGTCGATTATTAGGTAAAATATAGGAGGTACCGCAAAAAGTTAAAAGCAAAAGTTATAGGATTTTTAAATATCTATTAGAGAGTAATAAATTTGAGTATACAGGGTCGGTCATAAAGTCGTGGAACATCAAAGTTTCATTTTTTTTTAAATAGAACCCCCTGTATATTATTGCATATTTCAATTCTTTCTTCAATTCTAAGCAAAAATCGAAATACACACAATGTACCTCAAACCAACCGTTTCTGAGTTATTGACTTTTGAACATATCACTTAAACAATTTGATTTAATTAATTTCGATATGTTCAGTTTCATTTAATGATGCCATTTTGATGAAACTGTGATACTGTTGTTACTACTAGTAAATTTAAATATACACTGTCGGTCATAAAGTTGTGGCACGTCAAACTTAATTTTTTTTTAAATGAAACCCCCTGTATATTATTGCATATTTCAATTCTTCCTTCAATTTTAAGCAATAATCGTAATACACAAACTACATAAATTGAAGAATTGAAATGTTAAACGAAAATTTTGTAATTTCCAGATTTCATATAATCTCATTTTATACATCTATACCTAAATGCTAACTTAAGAAATAATGTCAAATATTATTAACTAGCACAGTTTCGACAGAATAGCATCGTTAAATGAAACTGAACATATCAAAATTAATTATGAAATAATACAAAATAGATATGTTCAAAAGTGAGTAACTCGTAAACGGTTTGTTTGAGGTACATTGTGTGTATTTCGATTTTTGCTTAGAATCGAAGAAAGAATTGAAATATGCAATAGTATACAAGGGGTTCTATTTAAAAAATGAAACTTTGATGAGTCACGACTTATAACCCTGTATACTTAAATTTATTACTCGCTAATAGATATTTAAAAATCATATAACTTTTGCATTTAACTTTTTGCGGTACCTCCTATATTTTACCTAATAATCGACCGTTTCCATACATAACAGCGACCCTGTATAGAAAATAAAAGTTATTTTTTGTAAACGCCACTGCGTTGAGTACAGGGTAAGTCAACGATAGAGTAAGTCCATTATCTCATTTGTTTCGAGGTTTACAAAAATATTAAATATAAAAGTTATAGGGACCGTTAAGATACACATTTTAAAATTATTATAGAGTATACAGTATACAGGGTGCTTCAAAAAAGTGTGGCGAATATAACATATTTTTGGAATTTAAATAATAAAGACACAAAACATTTCCAATAGACTACAATTCAACACATTTAATCAACTACAAATCACAAATAATACTGCAGGAAACTTTAATAAACACAGACAGCGTTCAAACGAGCGTGCTGAAGTGTCTCATAACACTCGCGCAACCGACAGCGGTCCGTGCTTATCTTCCGAAAAATAAATCAATTTTGTTTATACAGGGTGGGCCAATGGAAATTTTCCACCCCAATTTTTCTCGTTTAAAATTAAAATTTGGGAAAACGCTCGGACACGTGGATTTATTTTTAGAGGGGGAAAAATATCATAAAACACTTTCACACCTATAACCCCCAAGGCGGGGGCGGCGCCACCCCTAAATTCTTAAATGGAAAGGGGGGCCGACTTATACGTCATGTGAAAGGTCTTTCAATTCCCTTTTTAATGATATAAGATATCATGTACTTTCGTTCAGTAGTTTTAGAGAATTATTGATTTAAAGTAGATTTTTTAATTTATCAGCGTGGTGAAAAAATCGGATTTTATTTTTTTCTCCCTCTCTCTCTGTATATATTTTTTTGGCAAACTGTATGTGTATATTAAAATTTTTAACTGATCAATCTACATCGATCCACGCCCAAAAATCTTTCGATTCGGAATAAGTGAAAAAAGCTCAATTTTGGCCGGGAAAATAAAAAAGCTTTTTAGAAATTTTAAAAAGGTAATAAATTTAAAAAATTTAAATATTAAAAAACAGAGCTTTTTTTTAAAAGCTTTTTTATTTAAAAGCTTAATTTTTAGTATACACAGCTTGCGAAAAAGTACATACAGAGAGAGAAAAAAAAAATAAAAACCTTTTTTTTTCACCACTTAACTGATAAATTAAAATCTAATTTAAATCAATAAATCTCTAAAACTACTGAACGAAAGTACATGATATTTTATCATTAAAAAGGAAATTGAAAGACCTTTCACATGAGGTATCACTCGGCCCCCTTTCCATTTAAGAATTTAGGAGTAACACCGCCCCCGCCTTGTGGGTTGTAGGTGTGAAAGTGATTTTATGATATTTTTTTCCTCTTGAAAACTGAATCGACGTGTCCAAGCGTTTTTCCAAATTTTAATTTTAAACCAGAAAAATTGGGGTGGAAAGTTTCCATTGGCCCACCATATATAATCATATTTCTAACAATATGTTTTTTATTGTTTTTAGATTCTGCCTAAAATTCAATAACTTTATATACAATGTCATACACCTAAAATTAATAGTTTTTGTAATATTTAATTTGTTAAACCCTGTATATTTCGATAGTTTCACACTTAAACAGAATTCCCAAGTTTTTTTTATTCTATGAGCTACAGATGCCCGACGCACTATTGCCAGACCCTGTATATTTTAATTAAAAAACTTTTTAGTCATTCGGTTTTATCAATCTTTTAGAAACATGGCAATAAAATTGCCCTTTATCGTCAACCCACACAAATTAAAACATTTCTTTCCACTGCAGTGAAATGAAAAATAAACGTACAACCGGGCATGAATAAATCAATCTGACCGAGTAACATGAATGTTTGCAGAAGTTATATCAGATATACACATCTATAATTGCACGAGCGAGTCTTTGTTCTCGTTTACCTGTTGAATAAAGAAACATGCCCTGTTTGAAATAGAGAAATAAAAACATGATAACGTATGCGAATTAAGGGATAATAAACACGACCTGTTTTTTAAAAAAATTGTGTCCATAAACTCTGTAGGTAATTATACCATACGGTGTTTTTAAGTATTCTATTTCTACCTGAGATCTTAAAATGTTCATGCTATCTTAAAATACAATACCGGGTGCGTCTCAAAAGTGGCTCACCCCTATAACTTTTTTTATTTTTTCAGATAAAAAACGATATTTGGTATGTTAGTATATGACATAAATTAGGATTGATTGATGTATTCAATTGATTTTGGTTACTTGCTATTTGGTTTGCTATTAATCTTAATTAATAATAATTTAGTTTGTGCTACAACTTTTGATTTTTAAATAACACGCTTGGTATTTTTTTACTTTATTCGATAGAAAATGACACTCATAACACTAATGAATAGAATGGCATAACACAGAGAGAACACTAATAACTAAAGTGAGAGAGACCGATCAACGTTAATTTTTGAAGACTGTGTTAGTGGCGCGGCCTTTGGCGTCTAACCCGAACTATGAGCGCATTATCGATATAGTAGGTTGCATTCATACCTATATACTTGCGTCAATAATTTAAAATTTGTATATTTGAACCGAAACCTTAATTTTTCAAGTTTATAATAAGAAATCTTCGTAGTTTTTTTAGATTATTTTCTTGACAACGAAAATTATTATTAGACTTTAAAGCATTAAAACCTATAAATAAAATACTGTGTAGGAACATAATAATTTGTTTAACTCCGTACTCCTTGCCATACTCCAACTCAAGGCTGCAATCTTCAATATCTTTTTTATCTAACTTGGTTGGGAGTGAACAGGGAAGCACGGTTGGGAGCTCGCACAGAGTATCAGTAGGTATCCCGTAGGTATTCAATGTTTTTAATAGTCTTTATTCAATAACAAGAACCTATCAATTGAAGAAAATAATTTGTATTACTGGTAATAATACCAGGTATAATACTTAGTCGTTCCATAGGTATCAGAAAAGAACGTGATCTTTTACTTTTACAATCGGATTTATTCTATAGGTTATGCTTATGTAAATTAGCAATGTACGTTTATTATGTGCACTCACTAATACTATTAGGTATGTTAAAATAATTACCTTAAAAAACCAAAATGCCGAATAATCGTGGAACCTTAAATAATCAATAATGACAATAATCTCTTCTTACAAGCTAAAAGAACAGGCACATTCACTCAAAAACAATTTATTACTCCGATTATCAACAGATTTTAGTTATCTCCTTTTAGAGCTAAGAAATAGAAAAAGCTACTGACAATCTAATTAATCATGTCAAATGTTTAACTTGCAAAGTTGAAAACTTCCATTTTTGACCGCCTAAACGCTAAGCGCGTCTGGGAAGCGCGGTGACAAAATAAACTTGTCTACGAAATGCCCTATTCCACAAGTCCTCTCACTTTAGTTATTAGTTTCTCTCTGGCATAACATATTATGTCAACTTTTGACATTTTCGCATTTGGTTTATTTGAAATTGTTAATTGCGGTTCATAGTTCATAACGACAATCTGACCCAAAATACCAAGTATGTGGTATAAGATTATTCGTAAAAAATGCTTTTTTCCAAATATGCTAATGAACCGCCGTTGTTCCATTTGAAATAAATTTTGATTTGGGCATTTTTTAACCGGTCAGAACATAACACAAAAAATATTAGACAATCAAATATATTTTTCCACGGCTCCTTGATTAAAAATTAGTGTTTTTAACACAGCCAATAAACTTTAGATTGAAATTTAAAGTACGATTTTTTTAACAAAAATGTCAAAAGTTGACATATGATATGTCATTCTATTCGGAATATCATTGCCTGTTCATTGCACAGTATAGGTACTGCCTTTTTACGAATTTAATTTATGTACAGTTCTTGTGTAGTTAATAGTGAATTTGATAAACTGTTTTATAAAGGAAAGATCAGACCTATACACAAAAAATTGACTGGTATGTTATATTTTAATGATAATAAAATCTAATATATATTAGAAGTATAGTAACTCTTTGAATACTCTGTATATGGCATATCCAAATAATACCTAAAAACCTATTATTAGTAATACAGGGTGAGTTTTAAAGAAGTGCAAATATTTTTAGGGGGAAACCCCAGAAACACCTATGTGAATTTTTTAATAATAATAATATACCTAACCTGATGTTCCATTTAAAGTAACAGATGCTATCACTTTTAGTATCAAGCGGCAACACTGTAGTGCTGAAAATAATTTGGGATTGGAGCAGGTGCCTTTATACAAAAATCCAAATTTTTAAAAAAAATCCATTACCGGTTCTCCAAAAACGTCTAACGTGCTATCGCCGTGAATCATCCTGTATACTTACCAAAGTTTTAGACATTGGCAAAATTTGGTTCGAAGAAAGTGAAAAAAAAACGACAATGGTGTATTGCCTAGATTTAAATATATTTAAGAAATCTACCAAAAGGTTTAAAATATAAGTAAGTCCTGGGGAAGACAATATATTTGTTGAAATCTCGACCAAGCACCGTTAAAAACCGTTTTTATTTTGACCCACATCCAAACAAATAGAAACAACTTATTTGTTATGGGGTCACTAAAACAATAAATTTACAAATGGTCACTTAGAGTTCCTTTTTGGTATCATCCTCTGAATCAACTTTTTCGTCAAAATACTTTTCCAAATATTCCACCATGTCGTTAGGATTGGTTGTGGTCGCGAATCTTTCTCTAACTTGTCCCTTTTTATCAACAATGAATTTCGTAAAGTTCCATTTGATGAAGTCGCCAAAGTATCCTCCTTGTTTGGCTTTCAGATATTTCCATAATGGATGCGCATCATCTCCGTTGACGTTTACTTTTGAAAATAAATCAAATTTAATACCTGCAACATTAAAAGATTAGTTTTCAGTATTACAGTTGGAACGATTGGTGTTACAACAGGAAAATAAAACAGTAAATCACCACAATACACCAAAACACTTTTACTTTTACACTGGACGCGCATTTCGGTATCCATGTTAGCATCATCAGCAGATGATTAAGACTTACGGTTTTAATCATCAGCACATGACTAAAACTTACATGATACTTACATGGTTAGCGAAACGTGCGTCCAGTGTAAAAGTAAAAGTATTTTGGTGTATTGTAGTAATTTAGTGTTTTATTTTGCTTTAGTATTCAGTAAGTAAATTTCTTAACTGACAAAGGAAAATAGGTTACAATACATAGGGTGGTGCATCTTGTACGATGCGGAAGCATGCAAGGAGTAGTTTGTATTGCAATTAAATTTTGAAAGCATATTTTGGTTAACTGAAAGCATTTTATAAAAATATACATATAAAAAGATACATAAGTTATATACTCAGAAAACTTAAGTTTTTTTATTTAACTCACTTTAATGACTTAAGTCATTTCATTTTAAGTTATAACTGTTTCGACAGCTGACTTAATTCTTTCTTTATCTATACCAATATACAGGGTGATCCGAACTGTATTCCGGAAACTTCGGCGGCATATTCTGCAGATAGAAATAAGTAAAAATGTTCGTATATATGTATGTCCAAAAATGCTTAATTTCGGAGATACAGGGTGTAGAAGTTTCATTTTTACTTCGGGTGTAGAAGTTTCCGGAATACAATAATTTGGACCACCCTGTATAAAATCCTTAAGTGACTGACATACTGATTAATCACGATCCTGCTCAAACCACTCAACGTAAGAAGCTGAATTTTGGCATACAGATTGATTCTAGGGTGTAGAGGTTCGATAACAAGGGATTTTTCGAAATTTCAGTTCCATGAGGGTGAAACCGCCCCTCAAATATTACAATATTTTTTATTTAAAAAACGGTCAAGTTTCCGAAAAAAACGCTTAAACACGTATATTTTATTTGTTACATATTTTAAGATTTTTTAAAAATGTATACAGGGTATTTCGAAAAATCTGGTCATTGATGAATCACGATCCTGCTTAAAGCGCTTGACGTAAAAAGCTGATTTTTGGAAAACAGATTGACTTTAGGGTATAGAGGTTCGATCGAAGAAGGGATTTTTCGAAACTCGAATTCTAAAGGGGTGAAACTATCCCTCAAATATTAAAATATTTTTTATTTAAAAACCGGTGAGTTTTTCGGAAAAACTCTTAAACACGTATATTTTATTTTGTTGTTTTACATATTTTAAAATTTTTTATAAATTTATACCGGGTTTTTCATAAAATATGACCATTGAGTAATCACGATTCTGCTTAAACTGCTTGACGTTTAAAGCTGATTTTTGGCAAACGGATTGACTGTGGGGTGTAGAGGTTCGATAAGGAGGGGTTTCTTGAATTTCAAATTCCAAGAGCGTGAAAACGCCCCTCAAATATTACAATAATTGTTATTAAAAAAACGGTTAGTCTTTCGGGAAAACGCTTGGACAAGCATAATTTATTTGGTTTTTTTACATATTTTAAATTTTTTTTAAAAATCCTACAGGGTGGTCCAAAAAGTTAGGTAATTTCTTAACCACGATTCTGCTTAAACTGCTTGACGTAAAAAGCTTATTTTTGGCAAACGGATTTTTCGAAAGTCAAATTCCATCGAGATGAAACTACGTAGTAACGTTTCGTTAACTGTAAATAACCCTGTATAAAAAAACATGTGAGGAGCAGACTTTCTAGAGGCATTTTATCCATTTTTTCGAATTTTGGCAAACAAAGAAAAACTGCCACGCTTTTTGCAAGAAACTTCCCGAAAAACTAGTATACTTAAAGCATGGATAAAAAATAATAAAAATTGTACACCTTCATGTGAAAAATCTAGTTTTGATGATCTGTGAAAAAATAGATAGGAAAAAAAGATTAATAAAAAAATAATAAATAAAAATAAAAAATAGAGTGTCCTTTGGACACAGATTAAGTATACTACATGTATACAGATAAAAATCTTGTCCCTAATTCCTGGGACAATTCGTGGAAATTCATTTTCGAAAATTGTTTTTTATGACGATGAGCAAACGAGTAAAATTTCTTGTGCGCAAAAATAAACTCGTTTAAACAGTGTAATAACTGGGCCGGTCATGCGCTGTGCCCAATTTTACAGAGACGCGACAAGTATTTTCGGCGCCGTCGCGTCGTGCGAAATAAGGGTAGGCGCCTTTCTCCAATATTATAATATTAAGCCAAAATTTCCAATGACCAACGGCGCGGCGCTCGACATTGGTGGATAATATATTTTCACCACTGGCGTTCATAGATAAAAGTATTACTTAAATTTTATTTTAAATTGTTGATAAGTTCCAATAGTTTTATTATTTTTTAAAGTCAGTGACCGCAGACGCCTTTAGGGCTTTGGCACCGTCGAGCTTGCCTATATGGACGGCGCGTCCCTTCAATTTTAGAGGCCATAAGTGGGCGTGCTATGTGAGCAAACTAGTAACCTAACTAGTGCGCGACTTCGAAGATTGGAACCACGAAAAACAATGCTTTTGACGATAAGTTTATAATCTGTATAATCTGTGCTTTGGACGTGAAATTTCTCTTTATTTTTCTGCTACCACGGTCCGTATCTCTACCTACATGGTCCCTAGTCATAGTTACATTCATTATTTTAAGTAGTATTATTCAAAAAATAGAGAAGTTGTAGTACAAAGAAAAACACTATTCATCTGGCTTTGGCAAACAAACAGCAGTATGTCCACAGCACAAAAGGACATACTTCTGTTTGTTTGTCTACCGCCAATGGACATACAGCGCATAGAAAGTCTAAGGTATTTTCGCCATTTATTTTGAATGGGATAAAATGAATTTACAACGTCGCGTCGTTTCTGACATAATATTGTTACTCTCTGTATGTCTGCTCCTCCATGTGTTAATAAACCTTAGAAACCAGTCTGAAATTTAAAGATTTTTTTTTGCTTTTATTTTAGTTGCTAGCTGAATTTTACTTGATACTTAATTTATGCCTAAAACTTCTTTAATTAATTTGTTTTTTTTCCTGGCATTTAGTACCTACCTTTAAATTTAGCAAAGTTGATAATATCCTCGTTGGTTCCCGGTTCTTGACCTCCGAACTCGTTGCTAGGGAAACCCAATATCCTCAAGCCCTTGCTCTTTCCATACCTGTCGTATAAATAATTCAACTGTTCATAATTCACGTCGGTAAAGCCGCACTCAGACGCAACGTTAACTATTATACACACGTGGCCCTGTAACGAAAATGTATTCAAATATATACAGTGTGTTAGTTGTTCAATCAAATCAGCATACCCAATTAGAAAAAAATACTTGTTTGATATATTTTGATAACTAACACGGCGGCAAATTATTTAAACAAAAAATATATATTTTTTTAATTTTCAAAATAAAATAACTCTTTTATTTAATTGTACTTATTTGAAAAACAATGAAGAGAAGATATGTTTCTTTTATCGATATCTACCAGCCCTGAAAATATTTGCACATATTTAAGACTCACCCTGTATATTTTGGTAAAAACTAATCAATTAATGACAAAATGGCGACGGGAAAGTGTTTTGTCCACTTCAAATGACAAATTAAACGAGTACTGACAAAATGGTGAACGTAATTTAGTTTTAATCAAGTTGTTTATAGTCACAGATAACGGTAAGATATGTGTTTATAATAACTACACATTAAATTGATCTGAACCCTATAAAAAGAAAAATGTAAAAGGAGGTGTCTGTATTATTGACAATATTTATTATTAAAAAATATGTTGAATATTTTGTTGATCATACGTAAAATTAATTAAAAAATTAAGAACTTCATAATATAAACTACCAACAATCTTGGAATTACTATACCTTGTATTTCTCTAAGGATACATCATTACCATAAATATCTTTGGCTGTGAATTCATATATAGATTTGGCATCTTCCCATTTCACTTCAGCGGAGACTACTGAAAATGCACTCAACGTGGCAACAATGGCTAAAACTTTCCTAGATACTCTTAATTTGCTCTGCATTATTTAAGTAAAAAACACATGTATAAACAGTAAAATCAAGGAAAAATTATGTTTTAAACTACAGTTAATATTCAAAGAAATATAAACAACATCTAATAATTTCAATATTGTGTCAAGTCGAAATAAAAGAACGTTTTGGAATTTAATCTGTGACGAATACTGAAATGATACTGCAAGTAATTGTTTTCCTGCATGCCAGGCATAGTTGCCAAACTGCACATTAAATTTATGCTATGCGCTCTCGCGAGTGATGTTTCTAAAATGCAAATACAAATCATATATTTTTTCTTTATTTGAAAATCATGTAATATAAATATAAACAAATATTTAAAATTTGGAAAATAAGGAGTGATACATTAAATTAATTTATAAACATAAACTGTTTTTGATTTACGATGTTGAGAGAGTCAAATTTCTACTATCGGCAACGTTGTCTCATCGTCCAAGCAGGAACATTTGCGGTGTTGTCAATTTTAAAAAAGAATCGTAAGATATTTTTACGTTATTTTAGATTTTTTTTAAAGTTAATTAGGCATTTTACTATTTTTATAGTTTTTAATAATTTTTTAACGTTTACTAACTTTTTTCTTGTAATGACAAGAAAATTTTGTTGATAACAAAAAGATTCAAAATTAAATGAATATTATTTTTAAAAATAATTAATAAAAACGCACTTTTTAGCGTCTTTTCTTATACAGGATGATGAAAATGAGACAAAAATATCTATATTTTTTATTCTGTATTTTTTTATTCTTTAACTGTCCTTGTTTTTCTTTAAATATAATTAGTGGAGTGCTTTAAGCCCTTACGGGATACAAACCTCGGAATTCGTTTACTGTGAACGAATTTTTATAAAACTTTTTGCATTGTATTGTTAATAAGATATATTACAAAGTTTAGCCATTTAAATTCGTTGCTTTCACTTTAGTATTTAAATAAATACACATATACAAATGTATATGTATATACAAGATGGCTCCGTATTCCGGAAAAAGCTCTGTAACAGGATTCCTGTTTGAGATTTTCACTCCAAACCTTTTACAAAATATTTGTTTAATGGTAGTTCACATTTCAAGAATATTTTTATAGATATACAGGGTGAGTCAAATATATATCTATCATTTATTTAGTTCAGTGAATTTGCTATAAAATTCTGATTTCCAAAAATACCCTAATACCATAGAGTATGTGGTCTTTGATATACTTGTTGATAGACTAAACGGTCTTTGAATTATGACCACGTCCATGAGGACGTCAATCTAGACGTCCAGGAACCTTCGTGTGAGAACTTCTAATCGAGATGATCGGCTTACTGTAATTTTATCGCTAAGAAACCGCCGTTTGCCAGATTTTCAAATTGATAATAATGAATTGCACTTAAGGACCGTATTAACTAACGGACTACAAGAAGAAGATTAAATGAAGCAAATCTTATGTCAAGAAGGCCTTATGTCCTTCGGGAACAGAACTTACTAGATGTGTTGACTAGGCCCAAAAGCAAAGGCATGGTCTTAATAGAAAAATTACGAAAAAATGTTAGTGCATTTTTTAAAACCGAATATTTCCAACAAAAATAAAGCTAATGAGATGAACCAAAAAACAAACCATCGAGATAGCATGTATCTAGATGATAAAATGATTTTTAAATGTTTTGCTGTTTTAACATATTTCACAGGGTGTTTCAAACTTTCACCAAAATATCAGCATTTTGTTTTCCCTCGTATAATTAACAGATGGGGAGTTTTATTTTTAATTTAGAAAAAGATACTAAAAAGTCAAATAATTTGGCAACACACTGCTTAAAAAATCTTGAAAATCGGCCCATTAAAATAAAATATATGAACCTTTAAAATACATCAAAGTTTTAAGATGACCATTTTTCGTGCCGGTGAATGTATTTCAAAAATTATACATTTTAGTCATATACTTTTCTAATGAAACAAACCTTTATTTATTTACTAGAATCCAAGGTGTTCCATTACAAAAAACATAACTTTGATGTGTAACTTTTTTTGGGGACACCCTATAGAACTCTACATAATTTTAGAAAATGCTTTAAATTGACTTACATAAGCTCACAAAATTTCACTTCAATACAAACTTTTGTTCTCCTTGCAAAAACCGCATCGTATATGACGCGCCACACTGTAAAATTCGATTTCAATCAAAATTTCAATGATTAGAATATAAGCACAATAGGTATAGCTTATGCATTAGATTTATTTATTTCAATAAATTTACTTAGAAAAAAAAATTAAAAAAATCAAAATATTAAGAAGGAAATAATTAAGAATTTACTAAAATTACTAAAATAAAAATTAAAAGCAACAAAAAAAAATTGGTAAACATTTTAGTATTTTATCTATAAAACATAATACAGAAGGTTTCACATTAATATATTCACAGTAATTGAATTCCGAGGTAAAAGCCTCTGGGCACTCCACTAAATATATTATTTCTTTAAAAATTCAATCAGTTACAAAAGTAGTTTTTGTCAATTTACATGGTGAGCCAAACATATTTTTTGAAATAATTAAATGGAATGCTATATATTGTTTACTTCATTGAATCTACCAATAAATTTCAATTCCAAAAATACCATAATGACATATTTTATACCGGGTGCGTGTCAAAAGTAGCTCGCTCACCTCTATAACTTTTTTATTTTTTTTTTTAGATAAAAAACGCGATTTGGTATGTTGATATATGACATAAATTGGGATTGATTGACGTATATTCAACTGTTTTAGGTCACTTCTTGTTTCACCGGAAATTACTACAACTTTTGATTTTTAACTGGCACACCCTCGGTATTATTATTATTTACTGTAATATTTATTATTATTTTTACTGTAATCGATAGAAAATGGCACTCTGAATAGAATGACATACCATATATATCAACTTTTGACATTTTCGCTTAAAACAAAATTGCCGAGAAAATTGTATTTTAAATTTCTATCTTGAGTATCATGGTTGTGTTTAAAACACTAATTTTTAATCAGGGATCCTTGGAAAATAGATTTTGTCGTCTAATGTTTTTAATGTTTTGTCCTGACCGGTTAAAAGATGCCCAGATAATATTTTTAGTCATGTCTCAAATTTTTTAAATGGAACGAGGGTGGCTCATTAGCATACTTGGAAAAAGGATTTTTTAAGAATAATTTGGTATCACATACTTGATATTTCGAGTCAAATTGTAATCCTAATTTAAGTCATTCTAACAAATTTTTTGAAATGAAATACTAAGAAATAATCTTAAAAATAACACTTTTGAGACGCACCCGGTATTTTAAACGGAAATATTAAAAGTGGACATATGAGATGAAACTCTATTCAGAATGTCATTTGCATCAAATAAAGTTAACAAATACCGAGGGTACCATATAAAATTCAAAAGTTGTAGTCATTTCCACTGAAACAAGAAGTGACGTTTTTGAAATATGTTTTTTTTTGTCTGAAAAAATAAAAACGTTGTAGGGGGTAAACAATACTTTCGAAAAACACCCGGTATTGACTAAAATATTTTTAAAATGTGGGAAAAGAAAGAATAGGGTTCAAAATATCAAATCAGAAACCTTATATCGAGTTTTTTTAAGTTTTATCAATAAAACAATATTATTAAACGACTATTCTTTATTGCAGACATATTTTCTGATTTTATGCTAAATATACAATTTTATGGACAAGCAGTAATCTGGAACTATTCAAATATCATCGTAAACACATAATGCATTTATGTCTCTCGAACAAAATGATGCGAATAAAGCAAAAATGCACAAAAGCCATCGTCGGAAAACTAGAGAAAACCATAAAATCGATTTATGTGTCGCTATTCCCTTGGAAGGGACTTCCCACACAGCGTCGGGGTCAATTAGTAAATGTGTTTACAAACATATAAAACTCAGATATTTACGAATAAAAGTATTTGGTTCGTATTTTCGATTTTATCCGTAAACTTTTAATTTAATATTTTTTGAAACCTTGGTAAATGAAAAATATGTTCTTTCTACAAAAATATTTAAGTTGTTACAACTTACCTGATAATACTCAATAATATTAACTGTCATTTGTATGACTAGAAATACTGTAAGAACGAAAAAAATAGGGTGTCAAGTTATTTTAGGTAAAACTGATCGATGATTTTTTGTACTTAAGCAAAATTATAGTAGATTGTCGCTTCACACAAGTTAACTTGACGCCTTTTTTTCACAAAATATAGGTTTAGTCTGTTTCAATAGAAGACTTCTAAAAATTGACAGGAATAAAATACTCTGGCATAATGTCTGTCATTTTAATTCTAAAGTAGCTTATTATCTATATATACGGGGTAAGGCTTAAATAAGTGCAAATAATTTTAGGGGTACCCCAGAAACACGACTATGAGTTTTTTTCGCAAAAAAATGAAATTTTTGATTTTTTTTTAGTTTTTAGTTTTTTTTTAGTTAAAAACATAATTTCTTGGCAATATGACCGCATAGGTAATTGGTAGATTAAATTTACAAGAAAGAAAACCCAGAAAATATCTAATGTTTACAAAATTGAATCAAATTTTTTTTTTGGAAATTAAAGTAAAATAACCCGGTTATTTTGGACTTATCTGAAAAACGGTAATGAGAAAATGTTTCTTTTATCGAGATCTACCAGCCCTGAAAATATTTGCTCTTATTTAAGACTCACCCTGTATAAAAGCGATCTGGCACTCATTGACTCATCACGATATCTCGAAAACTACACGGCATATTGAGCTGAAAATTAGTATAGTTAGTACTAATGGGATATAGACATTCACTAAGAACGGATTTTGATTGAACTCCCATCCAAAGTATAGTGTTCTAACATTTTTCGGAAAATTATAAAAAACTTTTTGTAGCCCCCATATAAAATACCAAACAATGACATGTTTAATTGTAGTTTTGATAGTTTTTTATTAGCGTGGAGAAAGAAAACATTACAATCATAAATATTACAATATTATTTTTACTGAACGATGTATAATAAACTAATTCCAGTACAGTTGGAGAGTTTAATAAAGGTAAGTAAAAAAAATACATTTTTACAAATATTTGGGTAAATACAAACGTAATTACTTAAAAACTTATAAAAATATCTAAGAAATGAATGGACAATAATTTTTTGAGGATTTACACAAATAATGCATTTACTTGGTAATTTTATCGTGAAACTTGGCAATTATCGTGAACCCAAAAAACATACTTTTTTTCTGACAATTCAACTTCAACGTTGAAAGGCCAGGTAAATAGATAAAACTGTCGTTATTGGATAGATAACTGACGGACTGATAATATAAGCAAACACTGAATGAGGGAGAATATTTTTAGGGAGAATAATTTATAATAATGATAGGATAATAGCCGTGAGTTTGAAAGATTCAGTTAGCGCGGATAATATTAAATTGGGCTAAACGTTGGCAACGTTGACAGACATCTGGCATAAATTCGCTTTGTTTTTTGTGGTTATGTATAATTGTTTTGTTATCGTTGTAAAAGTACTTAATGTGCGGTATTTTTCCTATGGAAGAAATTTTCTGTGAAAAATTAAGGTAAACTGGGTACTCGAAAGAATGCAATAGTGCTTATTTTAAATTTTTAGGGAACTGTATTACTTTCACTAGTGAATGTTAGAAATTACTAGGAAAAGTCGACAAATTTAAAATACCACCATACCCATTCACTGGTCCAATGCGTAATTTCTAGCATTTCCTAGTGAATGTTAACAATCACTGAGTTTCCGACTTTCACTGTAACATACATAATAGCAAGAGAAATTACTTAAACATTTGGGCGGGACTATACTCAAGGAGAAACTCAATAGCCTCTCTACCGCTCGTCCGTCAAACGTACAGCCTTGCCACAAAAAGTGTAATTTTTACTCCTAATAAAACAATATACTATTAAAAGTAATTCCAAAGTAATACCTTGTAAGTATATATCGAGAAACTATGGCTACGCTCGTTGAATTAGACACTTTGTGTCAGTTTAATTATCGCTGGTTTAGTAACATATTTTTGTACTTTTATGCTTAGTCGTAAAATGGCATAAAAGTAATATGCCTAGGCCACCCTAGGCCAAAGAGTAGATAAGACAAGAGACGACAGTGAACAAAGAAGTCGAATTTCGCGAGAGAGACGCAGATATATTAAAATTTAAAGGTCCCATCAAGTCCCATTTTGTCTGTTGCCAAGTATATTTCTTTGAAAAATAAACAAGATTTTCTGAAAATAAATTAATATTATAAGAAGGATATAAGTAACGTATGTTAATACTGAAATGTAAATTTTTAGTTTAGGTTGGTTTAGGTTCTTTTTTCGCAATGTACTGATAATATCAAAGAAACAGAATGACTAATAAGTTGATCGATTTCAAAGATAAACAGATAAAATCTCAAAATCTGACAACGGCGTATTTTATCTAATCTAACAAGAATCTAACCTATGATTTTAGGACGCTAATCAGCTCTGCTAATCAGGCTTAAACATAAACAAATCTGATTAGTTGTTTTCTTGCATTTTTGCCTTTTTAAAGTGCGTTTTCGGAGTTTTTCGATATATTATCGTTTTGAGAGTTTTTAAGGTTTAATTTTAGTATCGTTTTTGTTGCGTACTAATTTGTAAATATTGTTAAATATGAATACTGAATAGAACACGAGTAGCAGGAAAAGACGAGATGGTGGCAATGTGTGTGCTTATAAAGACTGCAAAAATAGGTCTTATTCTTCGACAAACATAATATTTCACTCTTTTCCAAAGGATCCTGAAAAGTAATTTTATAGAAATATACTATATAATTATGTTATTAAACTAAATGTAATCCATAGATCGAAGACATGGTTAGAAGCTTGCAATACATTTAAACAAAAATTGAGAACTCTATTTTTTTTGTACATAAACTCCATACTGTGATTTTACACTTGTTCAAGTCCATATGTAAAAAAAATACACGTAAATAAAACATTTCTTACAAATCGACTTGGTCACTTTGTCTTGTTTACCAACGATATACAAAATATTGCTTTTATTATCTTTATTCCCCGACAAATATGTTTCTAATTATAATTTATTTCATATAATATTTAGGAAACTCATTTTTTTTTCGTTTCTATTTATTTCTTTACCCATACAGGAACTATTTATAATCTATACAGGCAAGTTTTAATAATAGACTATTTCAAATTTCCCGCGAAAAAATTACGAAAATTTAAAGGGACAAGCGAGACGAGGTCACTCTCCCTACCACTCAAACATGAAAGGTACCGCGCGAACTGTCGTCTCTTGTCTTATCTACTCTTTGCCTAGGCTTTAAAATGACTTTTTTATATTGTCAATCACGTCGTAAAAACTAACACTTTTGTGGCGTTTGAAAAAAAAACTTTTTATTTTGGGGATTTCTTTTCCAGTGGTGAAAAATCCAGACTTCTTTAAAGAAATAAACCCGCCACAAAGTTATAGACATTAATTTCTTCAATTTCTTATAGTAATTAATAAACCAACATCTACGCCTATGGTTTATATCTAACTATTCCCGATTGGCTTCCGCCCTTTATATACATATTATGAACCGATGTAAATGTGGATGTGGACAGAGAAAAAAGTGTTGACCTAGTTTACTCGATCTGAAACGGCTCTTGAAATATCGCTAATGCTATGCAAACTTTTTTTTCGTTTTGATGGTTATTCTACAACGTTTTTCAAAGGGACACTTCAGAAAACACTTAGGTCTAGACATGTTATTTTGTTGCAAACGGTTTATACGAAAGCAAACAAATATTTTTAGATGCCAATTTGGGAGGTCATGTTGAATGAGTATATCGAATTAATGATGTTAAAAATGAATCTAATAATAACGATATTCGGAAATTCTCGTTTTATATAATTTTTAAGAACATTTTTTTCAGAATATTTCCTTAATAATAGATCACTCCCTTCGAATACGCTGTTCTTTCGACAATCATTGCTAACTGTGTGGTCTTAGCACTGGAGGAGCACTTACCTTGTGCAGACAAAACCATGTTAGCTCAAAAATTAGTAAGTATAATTTGTACTATTTTATCGCTTTTGTGTGTAAGAATTCCGAAATAAATTACTTTAACATAGACATCTACAAGGTGACCCACTTCATTCGTCTCGGTTGATTATACGAAAACGGAAAGAATTTGAAACAAAATGAATTTATGGATGCGTGTGGGGAGGCATAATGCATAATTTAAAATTATTTTGAAATACACAGGGTGTTTCAGAATTAGAATGTAGAATGTTTAGGAGGGGAATCACCGCCCACTGACAAATCTATTGTGTGTTCTCCTTTTTTGAGTTATAACGAGTTATAACTCATCATACAGTCTCAGAGCTTTAACAAAAGCCAGTTTCTGAGACGGCTCCATAGAGGCCAGCTCTCCATCCTCGACATCAGCCGTACCAAAGTTCATGGCACGAACGGTTGCGTCGGTTTGTCGGTCGTAAGTTCTGAGGAACTTTTTCGAGTATCTTAGCCCGTTGGAGGACTCCCATTCCAGGTTACGGATGGAGTCTTCCAGGTTCCTCAGTTCCGCCTTTAGTTGGTTTCCGCTTGGAAAACAGAACGGTTCTGGTTCAGTTAGTAGAGTGTCCGCTCATTTTCTAGCTAGATCATTTGCTTTTTTATTGTCTTCAATCCCTTGGGTGAGCAAGCACCCATAGTAGGAGGACTTTATTTTCTTTGCCTATTTTTTTAAGCTTCTCTAGGCATTCTTTAACCAATTTCGTATTAATGGTTACTGAGTTGATCGCGTTTAGTGCTGCTTGACTATCGGATAAAATGGATATTTCCTGTTTTCGACAGTTCCTTATATAAGATAAATTTTACACATCTTTCGATAGCGTAGATTTCAGCCTGTAGGATGCTGTGGTAGGTGCCTATTAATACGGAGTATTTAGTTTTCGGTCTAAATACTTCTATCCCTGTCCCTACTTTGGTTTTGAAAACATCAGTATACCACGTTATGGTATGGTCTTTTACATGCTGATCAAACGTTTCTGCCTTCCAATCCTTTTATTACTCAATACTACAGTGAGGTGTTTCTCAAAGTTGTAGATTCTTGGTATGTCATCCACTGGGAGTTGGAGAAGTGGAATTTTCTTTATGAGGGTGTTTCAAGGTCCCTGACCTGAAAATTCTCCCAGTATTGTTTCCGTCAATGACGATTCTAATTATTGTCGTATTGGCATAACTATCGACGATAATGTACAGTGGTGTTAGGTCAAGGATAACTTCGATTTGTTGCTGTTGGGCATGTTTTCATGGCACCTGTGATGCAGATGCATGCCAGTCTCTGTACTTTGCATGGGTTTTTGCCTTGCTGTACGTTGCTCTAGTTTTGTGAACCAAGCAACTGCTCCATAGGTAATCATGGATCTTATTAACATGGTAAACATCCTGCGCAAACTGTTAGGGGCGCAGCCTCATCTATTTCCCGCCAGACTTCTTCATATCATGAGAGCCTCTGTGGCTTTGCTGGTAATGTTCTTAATATGCCTGTTCCAGAGAAGTTTACTGTTCAGGGTTGCGAACAAAAATAATTACAGTGACTCGTTTGGTATTTCTATCAAAGTAGTTTGCTATGTTTTATGAAAAATAATGCTATTTTTAATGAAATATACAAATGCCTTAAGAAAATACGTTTAAGGGTGGCTGCAACGACGTTTCTATGCACTGCATATTTCGGTTTCTCTATAAAGAAGTACCATACGATCGAAAAAAAACGGTGTCAAAGACAGCTGGAGAATAACAATCGATGATAATTTTGGTAAGGTCAAGACCTATACGTAATTTCCTTGGCCCGTACTCTTCTTTATTTTTTAATGGCGCTTACTGTCAATTGGTTTTCAAAAGATTTGATTTGAAAACTGAGAAAATCAAAACCAAAATCAAAAGATTGAAATTTATTTTTATTAATTCGAGAAAAAAATACTTTTTTGGAAATAGATTTGTGTGTCTGAAAACGTTCTATCCATTTTTAATATTTCCATAATTAGTGCTAATTTTTGACAAGTTTTATGTCAATTTTTGGTAAATAACGTTTAGAGATCGACCTCGCCAAAATTATTATCGATTGTAATTCTCAGCCGTCTTTGATGCCGTTTTTTTCAGTCATAGCACAGATAACACATAGTCATAGGCCAGGAAACGAAAACATGAATTCGGAAATAAATAGTGTCAACGAGATCATTGTTTTAAGTGGTTGGGTTGACCCAGAAAAGTAACATACTACATAGTCCCCAGCTATAGACCTTGTGCGTTAGCCGTGGGGGGAGGTGGAAGGGGTGAAAAAGACCGGTTTATAGTTTTTTTGTTATTATCTCAAAAACTAAGCATCCTAGCGAAAAAAAGTTCTATACAAAATGAAAGTAAATTTAATTGTTCACAAAAAAGGTCCTATTCATTTTTTCACTGTGAGCAGTAGTTAGGGTGTATAATACTTTGAAAATACGAGTAGGTGGAAGAAACTGTGTATTGTGGAAGATTAACACAAACCAGAATTTTTTTTTCATAAGTATATACATAAGAATTTAAGTTTATATATGGCAATATCAAGTACTTTATTGTTCGAGTTCATCGTCAAAGTTATCATCATCGTCGTCGCCGTTGACGCCGATGATTGGAGGACGAAGCGCGGCAAGTGCTGCACACAAGCGAACAGGGTATGCCTGCTTTACGGCACCCGCAACGGCTTCCGCAACCAGTCTTGCACCGGCAAAATGTATTACTTAGGACAGATTCTGGCGCAACTGGATTCGTGCTTGTGACAGGTTTTTTTTGCAAGAAAGTTGATAAACTTCTTCACTACTGCTCCTAGCGAAAAAATGAATAGGACCTTTTTTGTAAACAATTGAATTTATTTTCATTTTGTATAGAACATTTTTTTCGCTAAGATGCTTCGTTTTCGAGATAATAACAAAAAATATATAAACCGGCCCTTTTCACCCCTTCCCCCTCCCCCCACGGCTAACGCACAAGGTCTAGGGCTGGGGACTTTTGGTATGTTACTTTTAAGGGTCAATTCTACCACTTAAAACAATAATTTCTTTGACACTATTTTTTTCCGAATTGCGGTATTTTTTGGTGTTTATTTCCTAGCCTATCATACAATCATACGGTATATTACTTTTACTTTAGGAGTGATTCATGAAATTATTATTATATTCTAGGAAAAAACGGAAGTCTACTTCCTGGGAATCTTTTGCGTGGAGGCTTCCCTAAAAATTCTAGCTCTAGGGTTTGTCCTGCATCGGGGCTCCTACCTCAGGAATATCTGGAACATCATGGATTTCTTTGTGGTACTTACAGGGTAAGTTGCAATATTTTCTAGAGAATGACATAACATTACGATATGGCACTACGATGTTCGTAACTGGAGTTCTGTATAAATGGATACAAAAGACACATAACAATTTTTTTACAGGATTTGTTGCATAGAGAGAATACCGGTAAAACAGGTTTCTTTATTACATAATGGAACGAAAAAGAAATGGATACTTACGATTTTTGATTGTGGATTCTGGATATACATATGAAGTTTATAGAAGTTAATAAAAATATTATTAATCAAGTTTTAACTAATCTCGTTAGAAAACTTTTCTATAATTATATTTATACAATACGTTTATCCGTTTTGTAGTTACGGGGCATTCGTAAGGGGGGATACGAAATTATCTGTTAGTGGGTAATTCATAGGCCATAAATATTTTCGAAAACGTTACTTATTTATCCAAAAATTTAAAAAATACCAAATCAGTTTTGTAAATGGGACACATTCTTTATAAAAATTAAAATATTGAGAAGAAAAACAATAAAAAATTAAACACTGTTCTCCAAGCTCGGTCTGCTACCGTTTTAATCGATCTTTCTCGTAAAAATTAGTAATGGGTCTAGTTTCTCGTAAAAATTGGACGATGCGCCCCGTCAATAAAAATTCGACAAATTTGCAAGTAGCCTATGTAATGAGTGAGCGGAGAGTGTATTGCGATAGTGATGGGAATACCGGTTACACATTTGTTATGTTAGCTTTTAATTTTTAAAATAAAACTGTTAAATAAAAAAAATAATAATTTTTTGGTATTCAATACTTTGTATTCGCCATCTTTTCTTCAGATTGAAGAATAGCTTTTTATAAGTTTTATATTTTTGCGAATAATATTTAGATATTCATCTGATGCACGTTATAACCGTTAGAATTTAAATTAAAATACATTCATTCGTTACTAAGATAGTTATATGTTTCTATTTTTTTTTCTTAAAATCTGTTTACTTTAGAAATAGTTTAGCTTAAACAATAAAAAGTAACATGATTTGAATGATTAATTCAATACCTACGCCATATGTTAATTTTTTATCTACGTGTATGTTTTATCTACGTATATTCCTTATTGGTGGAAAAGTTAGAAGTAAAATATTCATGCCAGATAATCAAAACAAAATCAGTCTTACTTTATTCCCGTGCGTTAGTAAAATGTAATTTTCTTTCTTTGCAGACTATATAATTCTAATAGACATTATATTTTTAATCAATTGAAAGCTTTACAAATTTCCTTTTTTTGGTCATATTTCTTCTTTGTTTTTTCTTATTTTTGTAAAAGTGTTTGTTTGTAACTGTCTAATGTACCTAACATGTATTTATTATCAATAAAAAATGTCTAGTCCCTACCAAAAATCGCGATCTCGAAAGTAACTTAACCATTGTAACTGAAGCATCAACGCCAACAGTGACCGACCAAAGCGCGACAGATTAAAACTCGACCCTACGAGCGCTCCAGCAGTCGCGCGACTACTGGCACTGGAGCGAAATACGTCGCGGTATAGGTGGTTGCCAGTTACATCTCTTCGCAACAGATGATGTGGTCGAGATCGTGCGACGCTACGTACTTACCAGTTCCAATTACTACTGTTCGCGACCGACAAAATCGCGACCCTAGGAGCGCGACGCCCGACGGCAGGAGCGAAACACGGCACTATGCGGTTACTCCGATTCCAGCTAACTCCAAGAGCGATTATAACTAATTTATTTGCAAAGTATAAATAATATATAGCTTTATCGTTATTATGATCGTCGTTCTTCATTAACAGGTTCCTAATTCGTTGTGAAACACGACGTTACAAAAATATACCGCTCCAAAATCGCGTGACTCAAAAACCGACACATCACTAGTCCGGGAGTGTTGTTTGTTTTTGCCTGTTGTATGGCTTTTTCCACTTCCGACTTGAGTGTACCTGGACCATAATCTGCCAGTAGTCTCTCTGCTGCTTCCCGAGAGTCGTCATCAAATACCTAGTTGCAGTAAATTATTTAGAAGTTCGAAAAATACGCTCTAACACGAAATTGATACCTATTAATATACTTTATATAATAGAAAATAAATTTCTTGCACTTTTTAGGTATATAATAAAACTATATAATAGTTTCTTGCCTTGAACTGCTAATATAGAAATTAATTCCACGCTGTGTTCGACATAATGTGGATCAACCTGCTCTCACTATCGGTTTCGGGGCCCTACCCCATCATCAGGTGAGCTTGGGTCGTTTCCACAAAATGTCGAGCACAGCGCAGAGTATATAAATACGACTTGTCGTAAAGTAGCGGTAAGATATTAAGTCCCGCATCGCGAGGTAGCGGTCTGTGTGCAATGGTAGTACTTTCGTACCACCGAGGCACAACTATCGATAGTAAATAAAGGTTTTTTTCGGCTCGCCCAAATTATATAATGAAAAATACATTTCTTGCAGTTTTTAGTTATATAATAAAATTATATAAGAGTTTCTTGCCTTGAACTGCTAATATGGAACTTTTAATGAACAATATGAGTTAAGGCAAACTATATTATCAACCATATATGAAATTTTGTCTATAATAAGCAATTTATGAGAATTTGACTAAAGATTTGCCTTGCGATTTATATGAAAAAATAATAGAAAAAACATTTTGTTTTAAAATGCTATAATAGAGAACAACGGTATACGGTCGAGTCGGCCGCTGCTGGCACGTATACGTAGACGTAAAGAATCTTTTACGTGTATAAAAAATAGAAAAATATAAGAAATGTGCATGCATACGTAAACGTTTACGTGTTTGTAGGCCGGACTCGACCGTATGCCGTTGTTCTCTAATATCTAGTCCATTTATTCTGTGAGACCTCAAAACAATTTTGAAATATAAATTGTAAAATATCATGGAACTGAAATACATATTGATTTTAATTGGTCTATTTTATTGCCAATTATTTATGAAATTCAGTTCGGCGTTCAATAGCACTCCATTGGGCATATTTTATCTTTGTCAAATATGAAAGTCAGACTTAATAAAAACTATTAAATAAATGTATAATCTGATAATTATTGCCGACATGGGAAATCAATCATAAATAATTGTAGAGTGTCAAAAATTTCTAACTAAGATAATAAAATATAAATAAAAAAATAAAAACAACATCATTTCTCTGTCAAACTTTATTTATTAAATAACTATAAAATAAAATAATTGAGATAAATTAAATTTTTAGACAAATCAAGATATATTTACCGGTTGAAATATACTAAAAACGCGGTAATACATTATCGGCAAATCGTCTTCAAATACCGGTAATTTTGATAATCATTAAGAAAATAAATATACATTGGGCTAGAAGCCACAAATCAAATTTGTCAGAAAATATTACAGAACAAAACTTTTATTTCGAACTTTTATTACAATTGCAATAGATTTATTACAATATTTATTCTACAATGCTCTTAAAATATTCACAATTTTTATTACTCTTTACAAGAAAAAAAAAATAAAAATATATTATCTAGAGTTAAATTGCGCTGAAGCTGAAAAAATACGGTACAATTTCTAATCTCAGTATTTGAGCCAATAAAAATTGTTATGGAGCAGTTAGTTGCTAAAATTTAAACCCGTTTATAACCAGCTACAAAGACAGTGCTAAAATTAAGTGTTCCACCCTATTCCAACTGACTGCGGAAACACTATAACTAGTCCGATTGCGTCTCAAAGTTCATAAAAAATTGAGACACAAACGCTATTGATATTGATGAATTCCTTAATTCTAAATCTAAAACAGTCAAAGTTGAATTAGCGCTAGTGAGCATTCCGGTTCCTTTAACATCGGCAGAAACTCTGCAATTAATAAGGAAAATATATTAGTTTCAATAAGAAAAAAAGCAAAAAATTTAACCAGCTGTAAACTATATAACATCAGAAGAGAAAAAAAAGCAAAAGCCTTAACCAGCTGTAAACTATATAACATCTATGGTTATTGCTCAAATATTGAAAACCGAATAGCAATACCGGGTGCGTCTCAAAAGTGGCTCATTCCTATTACTTTTTTATTTCTTCAGATAAAAAAAAGAGATTTGGTATGTTAGTATATGATATAAATTAGGATTGATTGACGTATTCAATTGTTTTTGGTCACTTCCTGTTTAACCGGAAATGACTACAACTTTTGATTTTTAAATAGCACCCTCGGTATTTTTTTACTTTATTCGATAGAAAATGACATTCTGAATAGAATGACATATAATATGTCAACTTTTGACATTCTCGCTTAATAAAAAATTGTATTTTAAAATTCAATCTAAAGTGCCATGGCTATGTTAAAAACACTAATTCTTAATCAAGGAGCCATGGAAAAATAGATTTAATCGTCGACCAGTTAGAAAATGCTCAAATCGTATTTTTAATCATATATCAATTTTTTCAAATGGAACGAGGGTGACCTTTTAGCATATTTGGAAAAAGCATTTTTTACGAATAATTTGATATCGCGCACGTGGAATTTCGAGTGAAGTTTTTGTTGCGAACTGCAAGTTATAATTTCTAATACACCATATGCGAAAATGTCAAAAGTTGACATTTGATATGTCATTCTATTCAGGGTGTCATTTTCTTTCGAATATAGTACAAAAATACTGAGGGTGCCATTTAAAAATCAAAAGTTGTAGTCAGTTCCGGTGAAACAGGAAGTGACCGAAAACAATTTTATTGAATACGTCAATCAATCCTAATTTATGTCATATTATACTAACATACCAAATCTCGTTTTTTTAAATAAAAAAATAAAAAAGTTATAGGGGCGAGCCACTTTTGAGACGCACCCGGTATTTTCAGCAAGAAGGAATTAGAGAAAATATTTGAAAATGTTGCTTTTAATAACTCCTAATATCCTTGAAAGTCCTTGAAACTCCTATAAGTCATTGAAAGAGTAAAAATTGTAAAATGTAATACATTGAAAGAATGAAAACAGGAATAATGAAAACCGTAAAAAAATCTAAATGCATTGGCAAACATTTCG